GTGGACAGGATGCATGCTAACCCTGTTTGGGAATATTTTCCCAAAACAGCCAAAAGTTTTCCCACTGTCTACCAAGTGAAAAAAGCAAAGTTGCCTGCTTAACTCGTTTTCAAGGTCTCTCAGTCTCTCTCAGTTTTAACACTTCACTGAGGCCTCATCTGGTCTCCCAGTTCTCCCTCCCTCTGTACCTGCCTCAGAGTTGCCTGGCACTCAGTTCATCTCACCTCCTTTTAGACAGCTTAGGTGCACGAGATCCTTCCCTCCTCAAGTGTCCTGGCCCCAAGCTGTGGCCATGCAACTGTCCTATCTCACAGCCTTATTTATGACTTCACCTTCGGGGCCCAGACCCAGGACATAGCAGATGCTCAGGAAGTGATTACTCAACAGATGGATGAAGGTGTGTGTGGCCCTCAGCTTCAGTCCCCATGCTTCATGGTGAAGCGACAAACAGAGGCTGGGGGAAAGAAGCTCCATGCCTTTCTAGTATCCCCCAGCATATACAAGTTCACACAGCACACAAATGATACATAAACATTCTAACATGTGCATACATACATGGAATGACTCACATATGCACATAACATGCATGCACACTTACCATACATACACAGATGTGTATACATATACAGTCTGTCACACACATACACACAGATAAACTCACATGGATACACAAAACATATGCATGTGCCTATGTGTGCACAATGTATGTTGTATGAGCACATGCAGAGGACACACAGGCTCATCTACATACTCACACATGCATATGCTCACACACATCTGTGCTTGTGAATACACACATACAAATGTTAGAAAGTTTGACAGTTTGTCTGTGGTTTCAAAGTTTTTCCCAAATGATGAGAAAATCACATGGTCACATGGGAAATTAAGACAGCCACCTGCTAGGTTTGCAGTGAGCCTGTCCAAATGCAGGGCCCAGCTTTAACCCGTTTGAGTGCTCTGTCAAGCCATCCACCTCCTGGAGGAGACTGCAGGGAACCAGCACCAGCCTCAAAGCACTTTGAGGTGCACATGCTCTTTAGACTGCTTGATCTTGATATCATCTGGCCATGATGTCACCTCTGCCATAAGGCTCATGTTTGGCCATCTCTTCAACTTGCCGGTGACATCCAGGGCTGCTAGCTCTCAATTTTGAATTAGAAGACAGACTGAACTCTCACTATGCATGATCACAAGGCTATACTCAGGCCAATTCCACTTGCTCAGAGCCACTGAGCCCACTACCCCTTTCGTGGTTATAGCTGATAGTAGGAACTGGGGGTGTGACTCATGAGGACTAGGGGGGTGCTGCTCCTTACAGCTGGCCTTCAGCGAAAAGTGAGTCCTACAGACCATCTGTTTTTTGCATCTTGGGAAAATATTCCAGAAATAGCAGGGACCGTTCAGATCATAGCCAGGGTAACCTGGTAGTGCTAATGAGTAATTTTGCAGCTGGAGTCTCTCCTGCCATTTATGACAAAGTCCAGTCTCCCGACTGCACCCTACCTCAGTGACATACCTAACCACGGAGCCAGTGCAATATCCCTGAGCCTAAGCAACCGAGTAAGAGTCTTGGACATGGTAGAGAAAACATACGAATATACAGATATGAGAAGTATCTACAAAATCAAAAGTAGTCAAGTACAATATACAATAACAACAGTAAGTGCTTCTGCTGCTTATGAACTATGTGAAAATGGGAGATTTCTCATAGAAATGGAAAATATACACGGAGATGATGTCAGTCCAAACAGCCCCAACAGAAAAGACTTCTGTCCCACGGCCCTGATACAACACTGTGAAACTTTCTAGGCTACAACTCCAGGTAGTACCTCAGAACACACACTGTGAACGGCAGACAAGGCAGCTGAGGAACTGAAAACACAATTGCGGTCTGTCTGTCTGTCCCTAGGGGCAGAGGAGGGGCTGAAGGACAGGAGCAATGGAAATCTAGCCCAGCAGAAAAAAGCAAGCCCAACTCTCCCCCACCCACGCACACACCCCGCCACCTCCCCCAGGGTTTACTGAGCACTCCAGCGCTGAGCATCAGGTTAAGAAGGAAGCAGAAGTGTAAGAGCTTGGGGAGCTGATCATACCCTCTAGTTCTCCAGTGAGACCTCCATGCCCATCCTGATTTCAGCCCCTAGAATCTACCAGAAACCTTAGCATGCCCAGCCTAACCATGGGAGCCTGACTTCATTCTCCCAACTATCCTATAGCAAAATGTTGACCACAGACCAGTGAGAAGCAGACAAGGGGAGCGGGGGAGCTGCATACAGCTGCAGCTTTCTGTCCATCCCTAAGGCACAGGAAGCCAACACTCACTCTTTCAAGGAAAAGTGTGCATTCACAGCTTGGTTCCTGAACAATTGTAGTAAACATGAGAAGAGGCTTGTCTTTGCCAGCAGCCAGTATTCTTAGCCTCTGCCTCTCCTGCAGGCCCTCTTACAGGGAAGAGCCCTCTGCGACTACCACTTAAGTGGCTGAGCAAATGAATGGGTGAATGAGCCCTTAAATGGAAAATACCAGAAAGTAAGGGCAGTGTGGGTGTGGTGGTTAATGCTGGTTGTCGGCAGAACAAAGGCAGCCTCTGAGCATCCTCTCTGAGGGAAAGACTAGGTTGGCCTGGGGTGGGAAGACCACGCTAAATGTAGTTGGCACCGTCCAAGGGCCAGGGTCCCAGGCTGAATACAAAGGGAACTGTAAGACGGACCCAGCATTCATCTCTCATGACTGCGGCCCACTGTCTCACACTCCTGCCACGTGCCTTCCCTCCATGTTAGACTATATCTCATCTTAAATTTTAAGCCAGAACAAGCTTTTTCCCCCAAAGTTGCTTTTGTGAGATACAATCACAGAATCAAAAAGGTAACTAACACAATACACAAGTGAGCACACAGGTGAGAGGAGACGGAGGGCACAGGAGGGGTGAAATGAGTCCGAGCATCAGTCAGCGACCAAGTGGGCAGAGGAATGAACAAGCACACAGATGGAGAGCCCCTGATGTCCTGTTTGCCTGCCTTCCTGAATGTGGTCTCTGACAAGGGGGATTTCTGTGACATCACCGTGCAGTGCTCTCTATGGACTATGACATCACTGTGTAATGCTCTCTATGGACTGTGACATCACTATATAGTATTCTCTATGGACTGTGATATCACCATGCAATGCACTCTATGGACCGTGACATCACTGTGCAGTTGTTTGAACATGGCTTCAAACAACTTTGACTTTTGAACCCAAAGCACTCCAGAAGGCCCTTGCTCTCTAGAAACAAATCGCCTTCACTTAAGCAGCACAGTGACAGTTTTCTCCCTCCCCAATTCCTCTGGTTTAAATAAAGCTCCACCCAGTGCCCACCACATGCAATAAGGCCTGGCAACAGACATACACACTGCCTCCTTCCCTGAAAGTGGCAGAGAGGAAAAACTAAGTCCATCAAGGAAAAATTTTAAAACTTACATTACGGCAAGTGAGGTTGCTCAGTTGCTAAAGTATTTTTACTTTACATGTTCCTGGGCTCAGTCCTCAATATTTCAAACAACAGCAGCTGCAGCAGCAACAACAACCCTCCCAAACACACACACACACACACACACACACACACATTCTTTGCTCTCGAAGCCCTCTGAGAATTACACAGGTGTGTCCCCACACTGTCTCTTCACCCTCCCCTACTGGGCCTCCAAGTTCCATCACACGACAAGCCTTGGGAGAAGGCAGGACACTTCTGTGCAAAGAGCCCTGGAAACGTTCCTTAACCCCCAGGCATAGGCACTCTCCTGAGGACCACACTGAGGGTCTCTGCCCCACCGATGCACCAAGGCACGGGGTCAGAAAGGAACATGCTACTGCACAGAGACCAGTGCTACCACACACAAAACTGGGTAAGTCCCTAGGCCTCAGACCAACACCTGAGGGGGACATGCACATGGAACTGTCTAAAATCACCCTGGCCCTGGCTTGAGAACCACAGGAAATGAAAACCAACCCTGAGGAGCACAGAGCACTGGAGCTCACTCACCACGCAGCTGGGTCGTATTCAGCCCAGACTCGAATGAATTCATCTAGGTGGTGAGGCCCTAGGATGGAAGAGTCCCGAGTGAGGTACTCAAAATTGTCCATGATCACAGCAACAAAGAGGTTCAACATCTGCAGAACAAGAAGAAGAAGAGGTGACGCACACTCCACCGTGCCTTTTCTAACCTGCTCTCAAGCCCTGCCTGCAGCTTGCAGAAAGGACCAGCTGGACGGGAGAGGTCATCACTTTTATGTGACCTGCTGGGACTTTCTAGCATCTAGTGTCTTCTCAGTACCACAAAACCCAACTGGTTACTCCTACAAAGACTAAAACACAGAGAAGTATTTCCCCACAAGTACCCTTGTCAGAAGAGAATGGGCTGGACTGTAAACAGTACTTCCCAGCCTCAGCCCCAGATCCTGTAGTGCATTCAATAAATCTCTTTTATTAATCTGAAACAATAAATAGACACAAAAACCAACTGGTCATAGTGGTTTAGACTATTTCTAGGTTCTTAACTTTCTTTGGCTGGCTTATAAATCTTATGTCAACAACACTATTGTACTATTGTTTTGTTAGAATATTGTTTTGTTCTAAGCTGGCCTGGAACTTGCTATCTAACAGAAGATGACCTTGAGTTTCTGATGTTATACCTAAGTGCTGGAATTATTCCGGGCATCAAACTCAGTGTTTGTGAATTAATACCCTAGTGTTTGTGAAGCACCTTGCCACCCCTATAATAGTTTTGAAGTAAATTCTGAAATTGAGATGGTGAATCTGTCATCTTTGTATTTCAAGATTGTTCTGGCTATTTCTTGGCATCTGACCAAGGATTTGAAGACCTGCTTTCCTATCTGCCCATCCTCAAAAGCAGCCACGGGGATTTTTTTTTTTTATATGAAAGCTTTAATTTATTCCCTCACCAAAGACAATCAAAAGGGGTGAAAGGTCAAGATTTTACTGTCTTCATAACAAAATCAGCTTAGAACTGGATCATTTGGCCCTTTCTCTTCTTGTCGCCTCCCAGGTCAAAATGCTTGCACCTCTTACTAGCCAGCATCCTCTGAGATCTGCAGTTGGGCTCGACGCACTCCGGTAGCAGCACGATCTTCTTTGTAGTTTTAGCCTTTTTGCAGAAAATAGGCTTAGTCTGACCACCATAGCCACTCTGTTTCCTGTCATAACGCTGCTTTCCCTGGGCATACAAAGAATCCTTGCCCTTCTTGTACTGGGTCATCTTGTGGGGTTGGTGCTTCCCACATTTCTTGCAGAATGTCCGGCGGGTCTTAGGAACATTCACCATGTTGGCAGGAGCGCTATCAGCTCAGAAAGAGAGCCACTGGGATTTTATGTGGCACATTTATTCTATACATCACGTGCGAACGTACTGTCGTTGTGATAATACTAGTTCCAACTCATGGACATGTGATGTCTTTCTCCACTTAATTAACTTTTATTTCTTTCCATGGATGTCAGCAACTTTCACTTGTTCCTCAAAGTTTCACATTTACAGGGTGACCTGATAGCTCACTACAGCTTAGACTCCAGGCTAGAATGATGATTCTGTTGGCAATGTGCCCACTGCAGAAACATCAAGAGCTGAGTTTGGGATCCCAGTACCCATATAAAGCCCAAACACAGAGGCACACATCTGTAACCCTCACAGCAGTGAAGCCCATGGACCATGCGGCCCAGCCAATCTGGTGAGCTCTAGGTTCAGCAGGAGACTCTGTTTCAAAAATGTAAGCTAGGGAGCAATAGAGGAAGACACCTGACATAGACCTCTGGCTTCCACATGCATGTGCACCCATACATACACATGCACACACCCACAGAAACACATGCATTAACATATACATAAACGGGGAGGGAGCTGGAGAACTGACTCCGCAGTTAAGAGAACCTGCAGCCCTTTCAAAGGCCTGGAGCTGGGTTCACAATGTCCATGTAGGTGGCCTACAGCTGCCTGTGGCTCCAGCTCCAGGGGATGAATGCCCTCTTCTGACATTTTGGAGCACACTTACACACACAGTGACACATACATATGCATAAGTAAAAACAAGTACATCTCTTATTTTTAAGGAAAAACCTCAGACTTCTGGATCCCTTTTCCAGAGATGTGATAAGTCATGTGAGGTGGGAGCCCATAGCCCCTTCTCCTTGTGTATATATGTATACGTGTGTGTATATGTGTATGTATATGTGTATGTGTATGAGTATGCGTATGTATAGTGTGTATACTTGCTCTTGTTCTGTCGTGTGGGCGCTGGACTCTGTGTGTGCATGCGTGCACATATAGGCCAGAGTTTGACATCATGTCTTTCTTTTTCGATTCGCCACCTCATTTTTTTTTTTTTAAACAGGGCCTCTCACTGAACCTGGAGCTCACTGATTCTGCTACACTGACTGGGCCAGGAGCTTCAGAGATCCAATCTATGCTGGGCTCACTCACCAACACAGCTTTCCCATAGGTGCCGAAATACTCAGGTCCTCCTGCTGGAGTGGCAGGCCCTTTCCCTACCCCAAGGGCTTTGCACTTCTAACCAGCACTCAAGTGACTCATGCAACTTATGCCACACACTTCAGTTGCTAGGCTGTGCATCATGGACACAGACAACAGCCCAGGTACACAAACACGTCAGCTCAAGGATAGCTCACTCACATCTCCAGCCCCAGGATCTGTACAGTATTTCTATTCCCTTCCATCCAATTCCTGCAGAACTTTGTATGCCCATCAGAGGGACCTGTACTTATTGCTTAGAAAATTCCAGTGGCTTTCTTTTTTCTTCTTTATCAGCTGTACGGTGAAGGTATAGATCGGTCTTTCCCAATTCCCAAAGCCTTTGAGCACTGTCTCCCCAACAGCCTTCCTACTTACTCTGCAGCATGGTCCCTGACTGTCCAAACAGAAGCCAGAGCCAAGTTATAGCTATCTAGCATGTCACTGCCTGCTCCTGCTCCAAGGTTCCCAAGATTCCACATGCCTAAGAACCAGCCCACTAACCTTTTCCACAATATCCTAAGAGTACCTACTCATTCCCCCAGACACACGGCTTCACTGAACTGCCTTAGACATCAGACAAAGGCTTTAAGCATGGACTGACATAAATGTGGACTGAGTCAAAGTTGGGACCCGTTAAAAGATGACCCGAGACAGGCAGACATGGGCAAAAAGGGACTTACCAGAAAGGAGCAGAGGAAGATGAAGGAGACAAAGTAGAAGTAGGCAAAGTCGCTTCCACATTTACTGGCGTTGGCATTTGGGTCGCACGCCCGGTTGCCCAGACAAGACAGCATGATCTCATGCCAGGCCTCCCCAGTGGCACTCCTGAAAAGGACAGAGCTGTAAGCCCAGAGGGAGCTGTGCAGTGAACCCACAGCTGGCTAGCAGAGCCCTTGGGAGAGCTGGGTAGAGGGAGCCTCCTCTTCTGGGTTTCTGCAGAACCTGGATTACAGGAGATTTCTAGACTGACTGCTAACTAAGGAAGTCCTGGGAAGGATCTAACTGCACTGGGAGCTTCCTCATCCTCTTTGTGTCCAGAAGTGAATCCTTTCCTCTGGAGTCAGTCTATCTGCCACTTGCTACCCTGAGGAGTACTGACTGATGGATCCCATGCTGTTCCCAGCATCCCAGCAGGCCCAGAGTGAAGGTAGCCTATGCACTCCCTTCCCTTCGCCATGATTCTTGCCAGTCATTGCAGAAGCCCAAACTCACAGCCCTTTCCTGTGCCCTGGGGATTCTTTCCCCACTGTGCATCACACCCTCTCCACTCAGTCTACTTTCACATTGGTCATGGCGTCTCAAAACCACGTGCAGCAGCTACTTGAGGATTCTTGGGGACTTTGTTTACAGACATGTGGCCAACGCAGACAATAGAAAGTCTATGTAAGTGTATGTAGCTAGTCCTGGGTAAGAACAGAGACCACTGAGCACTGATATCAGCAGGGGTAAGGAACCTCCTACTGGCATGCTGCCCCACTCATGACAGAAAGTTCAAGAAGAAAAGAAATCTTTGAGAACAAAGGCCTCAAACTGAAGCTGACGTCACAGGTTTGCTTCAAATCTGTGTGGCATGAGGCAGAATATCAATCCATGATGAAATCTGATGAATCTCTCTGCTGAAGCCTAGAGAAATATGACTCTGGAAAGTGAAAGCCTGAGGATGTCTGTTGAAGATTCTCTCTAAGCCACTCAGAGAACCAGGCAGATGTTCACTTCTCTCCATGGAACTGCCATGAGCCCAAGGAGGGGTGCCACAGGACTGTGTGGCACATTTGCACACAGGAACAGATGGGAGTGGAATCTCAGAAGGGAGTCCCAAGGCAGGGTCCGAATTCAGCACACCTCACAAGAGCTCACTTCATGCTTGCTCTGTCTGGAGCCCGGGATGGCCAAACAGAAGACTCCACGAAGGCAGATAGGTACATCACACCTCCCTCCTACCCCACACTCACTCCAGGGCCACAAGAGTGGATAGCTACATCCCTATAACTTGTGAAGATGGGCCTCTTGCTCTGGACCCTGAGTGTCACCTGCTACTTTTCTGAAGGCACCAGGAGTCAGGGCACTGTAGACCCAGTGAGAGCAGTGAGTGAGCGCAAGGGACAGAGCCTGTGCTCACATCATCAGACTGAGTAAGTTGAGTTCCTGTGCCACTGACTAGCTGAAAACACCCTCTCAGGGTCCAGTTTCTCCTTCATCCATTGATGTAGGTGACCAGTATGGTGATTGGGTAGACAGTGTGATACCAGCATGTCAAATGAGACCTTGCCAAGTACCTCAATCCTCCTAGACTGTACCAACCTCTAGACACTTTGTGGGTCTCACTGGGGAGCAGAAACAATGTGGTAGAGGCTGGGTTGGCCCAGGGGCCACTGGAGTCCCTCCTATATATACTTCTTTTCTGTCTATCTGGAGGCCAAGGTAGAGATGTACTGGCTGGTTTTGTGTGTCAGCTTGACACAAGCTGGAGTTACCACAGGGAAAGGAGCCTCCCTTGAGGAAATGCCTCCATGAGATCCAGCTGTAAGACATTTTCTCAATTAGTAATCAAGGTGGGAGTGCCCATTAGGGTGGTACCATCCCTGGGCTGGTAGTCTTGAGTTCTATAAGAAAGCAAGCTGAGCAAGCCAGGGAGAGCAAAGCAGTAAGTAACATCCCTTCGTGGTCTCTGCATCAGTTCCTGCTTCCTGACCTGCTTGAGTTCAAGTCCTGACTTCCTTTGGTGGTGAACAGCAATGTGGAAGTGTAAGCTGAATAAACCCTTTCCTTCCCAACTTGCTTCTTGGTCATGATGTTTGTGCAGGAATAGAAACCCTGACTGAGACAGTAGACAAGAGCCCTTTGGGAAGAATAAATAGAAAGCAAATAATTGCAAAGGCCTACTTGATAGAGACAGCATAGTTTTGGTGTTGGAAGGGAAGTGCTCTGTGCATGACCTAATCCTCTGTCACAGTGAAGAGTGCACATGTTCTTTAGGCTACAAACCAGCACACCTGAACAACAGCATTAAGGCTTGCAGAAATGTCCGGAAGTTGTTGTGTCTGTTGATACTGGTGTCATCATCAAGGGCAATGTTTCCAAAAACCTGAAATGGAGAAAATAACAGTCTACATGCTGAATATTGGGGGCCATGACCAGTAGACTAGGCGAGAGAAAGCGTGCATGCAATATTGTAGGCGGCACAAGGGATAATGTGGTTCACAGCACAGACAACCCTTCAGTGGAGCACACTCGTGTACCACGATTCAGTGTGTCCAGCTGGGATTCTGAAGCTACTCACGGAAGCTAGTCTGAGAACCAGGACAAATGGGGATTGGGCTCTGCTTTGAGTAAGAAAGTTTTGTTCAGGTCACTTGTTAATGCAAAACTGTAAGTATGTTGGTAATGGCTCAGGAAGTGTTCTTTGGAATCTCTGGGACAAAGGGCACAATAGTCTTTTGAGCAATCTGATAGGCTGTTTTCAGGGTGAGAGATGGAGATGAGCCGAGAGTCATGCGGAGTTTAATCCCCAAACTGTAACTGAAAAGTCTATAGACTATCATATTTCCACAAAGATCAGGAAAGCACATGCTACTGACTATCCATAGACAAAAGCAACATAAAACATGCATGTTCATTTTAAGTAGCCCCAGATCGCAGAAAACTTCAATCCAAAATGAGTTTCAGAACTCAGCTAAAGCTCAAGACCTTGGTACCTCCTATCACAAATCAATACCCAACCCTCTCCCATCTACACTGTGAGGAAGTGGCCAAGATTTGCAGCTAAGCTGCTGATTTACATCTTTTGAATGTTCTTTCCC